AAAAAAAGCCCTTTTGCTAATGCCAGTCACGGTTTAAGGAACTTTGAATTAACCTCTTATATCAAACGGATCTTTTCATTTGGAGACTAATAAATCTCAATCTGAGGGAACTACCTTTTGTAGAGCCGAGACGGGGGTTTTACGGAGGCAAAGCTCCGGGCCGGTTTATAAGAAAGAAGAGATAAAGTTTGCCTCTGTCCCTCAGGCCTCACCTCCCCCCCCCCCGCCTCCTCCTCCTCCTCCTCCACCAACTCAGCCAGCCACCACCAAGCTTTTGGAGAATAAGGGATACAGCACATACACACACACACACATATATGTATATATGCATATCCCTTCCCAATTGTATCTGGGGAGGGGGGAATGGGAGCGGTGCTTGGCCTCATTTTGGAAGTGGGGTTGTTTTTTTTTTGTTTTGTTTTTGAAAGAGATTGGAAAGGAATCCGGAGAAGTTGGACCTTTGCTCAAAAAGTAAGCAGATTTATTTTCCTCCTGTCTAGAAAGTTCAAAGCATGATTTATAGCTTTGTGCAACGGCAGTCACAACTAGGCATGTTTGGGGCTCCACTAGAGGGGTGGGGCTTAGCGAAGGTTTTGTGTGTGTGTGTGTGTGTCTGTGTGTCTGTGAAAAAAGGAAAGGAGGGAAGGGTGCAGAGATAAAAGCGCATTTCTCTCCAGTAACTCCAGAAAGCAGCTGATTCCTCTTCCGAACCAGAGACCAGACTATGGGGGGGGGGGGGGCGGGCGGGGCAGAGGAAGAGAATAAAGGAAGATGGAGATAGACATTTTTTTTTTTAAGAGAACTGAATTCTACATAAAACGAGGATTGTTGGGAGCAATATGTTGACATTGCAAACCGCTTGAAGGAGGCTGTAAAGCACTGGGGAGCCAGATCTGAGTCTAAGGGCTATTGCCATTTTCTGCCAAGGGTCTATCCCCCTCTCCCTCAAAATGCATATATAGAAATAAGTGCAGATTTTGATTTAAATGTGCATATATGCCCGCACAGCCACACACCCAGTGCATCAACGGCCTGTGTGACATGGGTGTACTGTTTGTGTATTGATAGAGCAGACACAGACTTACAGTTATGCCAAAAGGACAAACGTTGTTTACTTCTGGTTTATACACAAGAGCGTGTATATCCCTCTTTGGTTTCCCACGTGAGTGACACGCACACAAATAATTTCGGACCACATGCAGACGTCTGTGTGTTCAAGCAGGCACAGACATCCTGCACGCTCTGGATAACTTCCCCAAACAGCCATCCATCTTCTTTCTCTTTTGAAGACGGGATAGGATGTCTTCTTTCTTCCGCTAACCCTCCATTCACTCCTTTCTGCTCCCGTCTTTCTTGTTCTTTCAAGAGTTTTGTCCTCCCCCCCCCAATGCCTTGAGCGTGTCGCCTTGCGAGAGAGTTATTAATTACTCTTACAAGGAGAGCGGTTCTTAACTAATAACAAAGTTGTAAATTGTCACCTTCTCGCCAATATTTCTCATTTGTCAGTCTTGATTGACTTGATTAATATTCTACCGGTGGAACTGATTTTCCGAAGCCCGGGTTACGTAACCAAGCTGACTTGGAGTTTTGGTTTATTTATTTTTTTGGTTTTTTTTTTTTTTTGTCTCCATCTTGTTGGATTTCATTTGTAACCGAAGCTTCGGCCCGGAGCGGTTCGGGGTCGGTCGAACCAAACTTGATCTGGACTTTTGGCGTCCTAAAAAGCTCATATAGGCAACTGGGGGAATACAAGCCACAGCTTTTCCAAAGCCCCCTTCAATGGTCCGAATCTAATAAAGGAGAATATCTGTAGCTCAGGGTTGATTGACAGGGGGGCTCTTGGGTGCTCTCCGAGCTGGCTTGTTTTCTTGCAGACATTTCATGACCCAAACTAGGTAACATCATCAGGGCTGGTGAAGAGTGCGGTTTGCTGTCAGTTTATCCTCTAGCTGTCTAGCGTGTAGCATTGGTGTTTTACCTACTTTGGGTCATGAAACGTCTGCAAGAAAACAGGCCAGCTCAGAGAGCACCAAGGACCCACCTCATAATTCCTACCCTTTGTCCCTCTTTCAGGTTGGGAATTTGAACCGTTGAGCCTCTCAGCTTGGCGAACGGAACCGCAGGTAGTTTGAGTCGATCGGGCTTCCTTCTGCATAAGAAAAGCCGAAACTGCTTGAATTCACGATTTTTACTTACTTATTTATTTATTTAAAAAAGGAAGCTTCGGCTGAGTGGGGGACTCTGAGTGCGGAAGTGGGGTTCAAAGGGAAAGTGTCAGGCGGGGTGATGTCTCTAATTAATGGAGGTGGTGGAGGAGGAGGAGGAGGTGGAGGAGGAGGGAGAAAAGGAAGCGGCACGAGCAAACCAGAGCGATTTCTCGGCTTGCGCCTTTGCAAGCGCGTCGCCTCCTTTCCTTCCCCAAGGCGCTTGGCTAGCCCCGCAGGCAGGGCAGCGACAGAGGCCCTGGGGAGGGGAGGGGAGGGGGAGGAGGGGAGCTGCCCAGAGACACGCCTCCCCTCGGCCAAATGGCTCGGACAGCCTGGCGACCCCGCCGCCACCGGGGCAGGTGCCAAGGTTCGCGCCTGTCGCCGCCGCCTCTCCCCGCCCCAGGTCGCGCGCCGGTGCGAGGCTCTGCGCGCCGGGTTGCCTGGGGGAAGCGCTCCGCTACCGCCCTCGCCCCCGCGGCCGCCCCCGCATGCTCTCCCTTGCAACCCATTAATATCTGTTTCCTTCCAACGCCACTTGAGTTTTCTCATCTTAATTATATTAAGTGGAGCAGCAGGCAGGAGCGGGGAGGGCCGAGCGCGCCGCGCGGCAGTGGCCGCCTCGCCAGCCCCTCGGTGGCTGATGTCTCTCGCGGCGCCTCTGTTGATGCGCCCAGGTTCAGCCTGGGCTTCCCCCGAGGAATCGGGAGACCGAAGAGGAGCGAGAGGGTGGGGGGTGGGGGGCGAGGGGCGGCGGAGGGGAGACTTGGAAAGCTTCTCCTTCCTGCGGTTAAAAATGTCACTCTTAAAATTCTGCAATGGGTTTCGAACTTTTTTTCCTTCCTCGCCGTCTGTTTGCTTTCAATGAAATGTAATTCTTCCACTCCCTCAATCTATCTTCCTTTTATACTTATTTCTCTAGTAAATCAATATTCCTTCCTTCCTTCCTTCCTTCCTTCCTTCCTTCCTTCCTTCCTTCCTTCCTTCCTTCCTTCCTCTCCCTCACCCGCTCAGCCCCCCATTCTCTCTTTCACGGAAACAAGCCACAAAACCACCATTAAGCCTGCATATACTATTGGCTCTTATCAGTCCAGCTTTGGTTCAGGGGTGCTTTTAAAATAGGAGAGAAAATAAAGACATTCGGGGCTTGCAAACGTTTAGAACTGCTACAGACGAAGAGCTGGCCATAGTAAGATAGTTTTAAGCTCCTGGATTTAAAGCGCAAGATTAAACAGGAGTTCTTGAATCCCGTTGGAATCAGTAAAGCTTTCAAGTGCTTCTCGCGGTTGGTTGGTGCTAATATGGATCATCGTGCTAAGAAGGGCCTGTCATAAAATCTACCAAGGATGGAAAGTAAGGTAATGATTCTCCCCAGCTCAGGCCAGGCCAGGTGTCTGAAGTTGTCAGAAAAGAAAAAGAAAGAAAGAAAGAAAGAAAGAAAGAAAGAAAGAAAGAAAGAAAGAAAGAAAGAAAGAAAGAAAGAAAGAAAGAAAGAAAGAAAGAAAGAAAGAAAGAGAAAGAGGGAAAGAAAAAAAGAAAAAGAGAAAGAAAGAAAAGAGGGAAGGAAAAAAAGAAAGAAGAGAAAAAGAAAAAAGGGAAAGAAAAAAAGAAAAAAGAAAAAGAGAGAAAGAAAGAAAAGAGGGAAGGAAAGAAAAAAGAAAAGAGAGAAAGAGAAAAGAAAAGAAAGAGGGAAAGAAAGAAAGAAAGAAAAGAGAAAAAAGAAAGAAAAGAAAGAGGGAAAGAAAAAAGAAAAAAGAAAAAGAGAGAGAAAGAAAAGAGGGAAAGAAAGAAAGAAAAGAGAGGAAAAGAAAAAAGAAAGGGAAAGAAAGAAAAAAGAGAGAGAAAGAAAAGAAAAAGGGAAAGAAAGAAAGAAAAGAGGAAAAGAAAAAAAGAAAAGAGAGCGAGAAAGAAAGAAAGAAAGAAAGAAAGAAAGAAAGAAAGAAAGAAAGAAAGAAAGAAAGAAAGAAAGAAAGAAAGAAAGACAATCTCTTTGGACAAATGTTTCACTTTTCGGTAATCGCCCCTTTCCATCTCTCATTCCCCCAAAATACCGGCCACAGGCTGAGAAGTGGAGCCAGACCAGGTCGGGCCACATCCTCCCAGCCCTTCGGGTCAAGCAAAGAGTAAAAGCCCCAGCCTTTTGGAAAACCGGCTGCTGGACGTCCCCTCAGTGAGCGCCTGGGAAATACTCAGGAATATGACGTCGGTGGGGTAATTAATCTTTGACAAGAAAGCGGGGGGGGGGAGAAGAGAAGGAAGGAAGGAAGGAGGGAGGGAAGAAGGAAGGCAGGAGAAAACAGGGGAGGCAAGAAGAGGAGAAAAGAGAAAGAAAAAATTGTGACCTAAGCCGGCCTTGCTGAGGGTTTGATTCACTCGATGCTGAGCCGGACAGAGTTCAAGGGAGCCAGCCAGAGGCAGAGCCTCCCCCAAGGCTTTAAACAGTCTAGATTTTTGGGGGGAGGGGGGATCCTGGATCTCTAGGGTGAGCAGATCTTTATTTGGAGAAATCCTTAGATTATTAGGGGATCTTCGGGGTCCTGGCTGCGGGATGGAAGAGGCGGCGCGCCCCTGCGACCCACTCCCTCCCCTTTACGGCTCTTGAACCCCACGCGTGTGGAATGGAGGCCCCCCAGCCTGACTGCCACGCCTTCTTTCCGTAATCTGGACCCCCCCCACTCCCCAGTCCCCCCGCCTGCCCCCCCCCGGCACCTTCCCAGCTTTCCTGACGCGGCGCTTTCCCCTCCAAACGCCCCGCGCATCTCCTCGGCTGGAAATGCATGACGTCAGGGCGGAGTGGTCCGGCGGAACTTCCGCCCACGAGACTGTTCTCTCTTCTGCAACCCTCCCCGGCTCTCCGTGCGCCCTCGGCCGACCGCCTCCCTCAAGGGGGCTCTGGTGCCCGGTAGGAGTGGGAGAAAATGCCCGGTGAGTGGAAAAAGGTCGGGGGGAGGGGAGAGAGAATTGCTCTACCCCGCTCCCCCCGCCCCGCCATTGCCCCATTGCGGCCCTCAAAGAGGGGGGGAAAAAAAACCGTGTTAAAAATCTTTCTGCAGTTTGGCGCCACGGAAGGCGGGTTGGGACTACAGCACCCATCACACCCAGCCCGCAACCGTTAGGTTGTGAGGGTTGTAGTCCAGGACCGGTTGGGCCCACGCTCGCTTCTCCTTTCTGGTGGCCAGGGCGAGGCCTGTTGCGTTTTCTCGCGTCCCCGGAAGCGTTGGGGGTCGCCTTAAAGGCCATTCGGGAGGCGCACGTGTCCGAGAGGATTAGAACGTCGTTACAGACGTTACCTTTTTGCCCCCCTCCCCAAGTCGTTGGGAGCTTTCTTATCACACGCGCCCCTTCGCTGGAACGCGACAGCCTTTAGAATCAATCCCACGGAACTCATGGAGACTTATTTTTGAGATGAATATGGTAGAGAGAGAGGGAGGGAGGGAGAGAGAGAGACTTTCAGCCCCATGAATTGGCAGTACTAACTGCAGTTCATGGCAAAATGTGGTTCCGCATTGCCCAGTGTTGCTGTTCACTTGTATGGACCTTGTGCCTAACATGGCCAGCAGCTCCAGTTCCATTTGGAGAGGAGAGGGAATGGATGATTCCTGAGAAATATTGTCCCGGAAAGCTTTCATTTATAGATCAAATACAGAGTGGATAGGCTGGAGGCCATTAAGAGGCCATATATGTTGAAATATACGTGTGTGTGTGTGTGTGTGTGTGTGTGTGTGTATGCGCGCACACGCTCGCGTGCCCGTGCATGTGTAATCCTTCTCCCCCCCCCCCAATCTATTATCCTGCTAGTTTTGGTACACTGCAGAATTGTAAACCCATTTACAAGTCGCTGGGCTGGCTAAGGATGATGCACTGAATCTATCACCCCTGTGCGGTGACTGACAGCAGGGCTGTGTCCAAGGCCAAGGGTCGGAGAAGACACCAGGAGATGAGAAGCTGTCTATTTCTGAAGGACAGAGAAAGGCTACCTGCTTCCAGGCCTACTGTTGTGTGGCCATAGAAATAGGAGGGGTGTGTTAAATGAAGAGCTGAGCAAAGAATCAAATAGTAAAATGATTATAGCAGCACTAACAAGAGACCCAACTGTGGTGCAAGCAAGCAAAGAGAGCACCAGTAATGATAGGCGCCTTGGGTGCACTCCCAAAACATCTGGAACACCACTGGAAGCCCAGTGGCACGGACAAAAAAAAATCCCCATTTTCTTGGAACAGCTGACACCTTGTGAGAATGGTACCCTTTGACACCATCAGACAAGAATATCTGCCCAGCTCAGATCTTTGGGAAGGACTTGAGAGGTGGATAAAAATGAGTAGCCAGCCTAAACATCTCACCATTTGGGTGTGACCAACCGTAATAATATATTCCAACACGGAATACAATTATTCCAATCCAGAAAGATGCAGGAACTGGGATTCTCCTTTAAATTGGAGCACAATTCATTTCTCCCAGACTCTTTGCTGAAGGACCCTTAGTCTCTGCTTTAGCTTTCCTGGCCAGCTTCACTTAACAGCTTGCCCCCCCCCATACACACACACACTCACCTCCTTCCCCAGTGGCATTGCTTAAGTTTTTTTTGGTGGGGGGGATCCGGTGAGAATGTCTTTGGTCTTGGGGTGGATGAAGGAGCAGGATTAGATAGACCACCTTCTCTCAATTCCACACTCACGCTTGCTGCTTTTCACACCCATGCTCTTGTAGTGGATGAGCCCTGGCAAACAATGTGCCCCCCCATTTTACCTTTCCAACCAAATGAATGGTCCCTTTGCTTGCTTGCTTGCTTATTTGTTTGTGTATTAAATTTCTACAGCACTTATCTGACTTAAATGACTCTGGGCAGTTTACAACCTGGGCTTCAGATGGCCACCTGTATGGCCTCATGAAAAGGAATGTGTGTATCGGTTTGTGTGGGTCTATTCTCCATGTCCCCCTCCAGTGCCATTTCCCCCCCCTTCCGCTGCTCCCTAATGAAGGGGGGATTACCTTTTAGTTCCTTACATTATTATTATTTAAGATTTAATCTTCAGTTCGATCCACAGTCTGGAACTGGTAAAAACTTAACAGTTCAAATCCTAACCAAGGATCTAAGAGCTCTGTTGTTGTTGTTGTTGTTGTTGTTGTTGTTGTTGTTGAATTTGATTCACAGTCTGGGACTGGTAGAAATTTAACAGTTCAAGTCCTAACCAAGGATCTAAGAGCTCTATTGTTGTTGTTGTTGTTGTTGTTGTTCTTGTTATTCAATTTGATTCACAGTCTGGGACTGGTAAAAACTTAACAGTTCAAGTCCTAACTATCCAAGGACCTAAGAGCTGTTAAAGTAATGTCTGAGTATATAGGCAGTTCTGAGTAGGGTGGTTTTTTTTTTTTTTTTGCAAAGTCAGGATACTCAGGTCTAATAAGTTCAAAATTTCCATGTATCTAGGCAGCCCTTTGGGTATTGCTCCAAGGGTCCTATTATCATTGGTACAGCCATTGATTTCTTCCTCCATAATCGCTCAACTTCAATTTGCAAATTATTATTACTGCTTCCATTTCATCCAGAACTCCAAGAAAGCATTATGAGTTGGTTGGAAATAATAATAATAATAATAATAATAATAATAATAATAATAATAATAATAATATAACTGTCTGCTATGAATTGTGTGTGTGAATATTTGAGTGAGTGAGGTGTCACGCTAATGGTCGATTTTTTTTCTGCCTCTCCCCCTGCCTCTGTGATCTGAGGGATGGCTTGATATATTCCGGATTAATGGTTAAATTTCAGGCTGCCTTTTGATGCAATCCTTCTCCCTTTCTCTCTCTCTCTCTCTCTCTCTCCCCCCCTTCCGCTTCTTCTTCTCTATCTTTCTCTCTAATCCAAGAATCATTAGCAACACCCTCTGGCTACATGTTTACCATCACTGAAACATTATGATTGGGTTGTAATACAAATTCCGCCCGGTTATTTTGCATCTTTGCGGCAAGAGACATAATCCTGATATTTCATATTTCTGGAAAGAGAAAGGGGAAGGGCAGGAAAGGAGACTAGGAAGAAAAAAGAAAAAAGGGGAGGATAAAAATTCCATTCTCTCCCTTCCTTTCTCTTCCTTTTTTATAAAATTGGGAAAATATTTAGGGAGGAAGGAAGGGCACCCCCTTTTCAGTTGATGTGATCAAAGCTTGTCTCTTCAATCCAGACTGTGTATTGAATCCTTTGTTATTAAGAAAAGTGGATCCTACACATTATCTAACACTCAAACTGACAAGGCAGAATCTTCCTTGCTCCACCCCCACCCTTTATCAAGGGGATCCACCTGTCACAGCTGTTCGGCTATATTGTTTTCAAATCAGATTCTGTTTATGCTGAGTCTCTCTTTTTCCCTTTCTTATACACCAACTCTTCCCATGGTTGGTAAATTAAAGATGGATAGCAATATAACATAACAAGGAAAGAAGAAGAAGAAGAAGAAGAAGAAGAAGAAGAAGAAGAAGAAGAAGAAGAAGAAGAAGAAGAAGAAGAAGAAGAAGAAGAAGAAGAAGAAGAAGAAGAAGAAGAAGAAGAAGAAGAATTGAAACACACAACAACAACAACAAGAACATCTATTGGACGTGGTGTACAAGGAATAATATTTCCTTGGTTCCCCAGATCCAAAATATAGTGTCCTGGCCTTGAATCAACAGCCTCCCAATTTATTTTAAGGACACCCTTCTAGTCACTTTATTGTATTGACTGGGGGGAGAAATCAATCCGAGAAATCAATAATCTCTTTGGCTAAACAAGGGAATAAATGTAGAAATATGTAAGGTTTGAGCTGGAGCTAACCAGAACCATGGTCCCCAAATTAGACCTTTAAAATATAGCCTCGGAAAACCTCTCCCCATTATACCTGGGACAAAATTCATATTATTTCTGGAAAGTCTGCTCTTTCATATTGGCCCCTTGTTCTTTACTACGACTCTTCCCTCCTACAAATGGTGTTTTCTGAATATTAAAAACAAACCCAGAGAAGCGACTCTGAATACTTTTTTCTATTTTATCCCACTAGCTTAAAAAAAAAAATTGTGGTCCTTAAATCTTTGAGGAGAGAAAATACTATTTAATTCGAGTGGATTTCAAAATGAAAAAAAAAAAGAGGGGAGGGAACGATAACACGACTCAGCCATGCCCTAAAACGCCTGGCTGGATTCTAGAGGCAGGATCCCCAAGACTTGGTGTAAAAAAATGGCAGGTTTTAGACGTTTTCCTCGCCCGGGGAGAGCTGAGACCACCTTGGGGGGCTTCAACTTTCAGAATTTAAAGCTGAGAGCGACTTCCTTTCCTCTTCTTTCTTTTCCTGGTTACGATTCGTCGCTGAGCCTTTTTTTCCCCCCTCCCTGGACGTAACTGGAGACTTTTCCTTTCGCTAAGGCTCCGCAGGGCGAGTTTAGTTACCTTCCATCTTGGAATTAAATACAAACGGCCAAGGAAACAAGCGAACGAAAGCTTGGGGAGGCTTTTAAATCCTAGGCGAGGTGTGAAAAGCGAGCTGTTACTGTAGAACTTGCATTCAAACCTCGCAGCTTAGGTTACCGCTGGCCCCTCTCGGCGAAACACGACACCCGGGCTGGGTGTCGCCTTTCCTGCCCACCCCTCCCTCTGGCTTGCCCACCCCTTCCTTTCCACTTTCTTCAAACGCCCACCCACCCGAACTGATACTACGGGAGATACCGAGGATGCTACAATGTCTCTTCAACTCCTAGTGAAAAGGGGCACTTTCAAGTGTCCCATTCTATTAACTCGCTTTGATTATGAAGAGAGCGAGGGAGCGGGCGGGCGGAGGGGGGGGAGGAGGAGAGGAGGGGAGGGAGGAGGAGAAAGGAGTGAGAGAAAGTGGGGAAATCCAAGCGCTGCTTTCCGCAGCCCCGTTTTTCGGGTTCCTGCAGGGGCGCTGCAGTTC